ACACAGAATCTGAAGCAGGCTCCATGCTCCAAGCTGTCAGCACACAGCCTGAAGCAGGGCTTGAACTCACAAATGACGAGATCATGACCCAAGCCTAAGTCGGACGCTTAAATGACTGAGCCACCCAGGTGCCCTGAAAAAAAGATCATTTAAAAGATAATTTAGGGCAGATCTCAGGGAGTTGTGATGCAGAAAATGGCATTTGTGAAAGATTTCTTGCCACTTATGGTGGAAAAAAGGGAAACAGCAGAGATGGTTGAGGATGATCAATTTAACATTGATCTCATCTCTCTCTGTCTCTCTGCTCTGACATTAAGACTTTTATAGTCTAGAGAGGGACATTTTATTAAGCGTTTTATTTCAAGTATAGTTTCTTTCTTTCTTTCTTTCTTTCTTTCTTTCTTTCTTTCTTTCTTTCTTTCTTTCTATTTTTGAGAGAGAGAGAGAGAAAACAGAGCGTGAGGCGGGGGAGTGGGGGGGAGGAGCAGAGGGGGGGAGACACAGAATCTGAAGCAGACTCCAGGCTCTGAGCTGTCAGCACAGAGCCCATTTCGGGGCTTGAACCCAAGAACAGTGAGTTCATGACTGGAGCCAAAGACGGACGCTCAACCAACTGAGCCACCCGGGTGTCCCTCAAGTATAGTTTAAAGCCCTTGACTTATTTTGTCTCATTTAATCCTGTGACATAAGTACTCTAATTCTTATTTTTAGGATGACGAAAAAGAGGAACAGTTAATTATGTAAGGTTAAAAAGTTAGCTAGGGACTGGAGGCAGGATTCCAACCCAGGCGGCTTGTCATTTGTCCACCTCACTTTGCCACCGCCCTGCCTATTTCTTGTAGATTACTACTATACAGCACGTGAAACACCATGATAGAGAGGAACAAAGGAAAAACACATTGAGTCGGAAAGGACTCAGTTCACTCTGGTGACAAGCTACAATTTGCCTCGGAGAGAAGAGAGGAGAAAGCCCTTTTGGGGAGAGAAAGTCACCTACCTCCCTGTGAGCCAGTGGAAGGGGCAGAAAGGGAGCTCCCCTTAAAACTAAGTTTTCCAAGTCCAGATATGGTCTTTGGGCACCTCTAGTCAGTACAAGTTTCTGAGTAGGAGGGACTGGCCGAGTTGTTTTTCAGGAAGATATTGGAGGTGGTGAGGAGGAGGTATGGAGGGTGGAATGACCCGAGGTGAGGCCAGTGGAGGCAAACCTTGCCATCTTCCCAAAGGGAGAACAGAGAGGCAGAAGGGGAGGAAAGAAAAAGGAGCCTTTTAGATGACTTGGAGCTAAATTTTGTGTGGCTAGTCAGTGAAAAGGACGAGAGCCGGCTGAAGCCAACACTTGGGCAGAAGTGTTATTTTTCTGAGATTTGTGTGTGTTTTCAATAGTGAGTTCAGCAGAGAGAATGTGCATGCATTGGGATCCGTCATCATCTTTGCACAGAGCCCAGATTCCACTACTATGTCGCCCCAAGCCCCTGGGGCAAGCAGGGTGATGAGAACTTGCACTCTGGTGCCTTGACCGTCGAGGTGAAAAGAGCATCCTGCGAGGAGTCAACTCGCAGGAGCCCCAGGTTGGGTCCTTTCACAGAAAGGCCGCCTGGGCAGACTCGCGGGTCCCGCCCCAGGTCCCGCCCTGGCTCCGAACAGAGCATCAGGTGGGGCCTAGGGCACGGGAGTGCGAGGCTGAGGCGGTCTCTCCTGGACCTGACCGGCGGCAAGTAGCCTGTCGACACTCTGCTCGGTGGTCCCAGCTCATTTGCAGCCTCGGACGGGGTGGAGGCGGCTTGGTCGGGGATACCCCTAAGGCGCAAGCAGCACCCCACTGTCCTCACCATGGAACTGGTTTCCTAGCGCGCGGGGGCCCAGCCACAACCACCCCGGCTCGGCCCCAGCCTCCCAGAGACACGCGCACCGGCCCCTGGCCCCCCAGGCACTACCCTCCCGGACCCCCAACTCGCGGACTACAAGTCCCAGCAGCCCTCGCAGCTTGCACCTCCCGCCTCGCCGCGGAGACCCCCGGCAGTCCAAGTGGGGCTCGGGCTGCGCTCGTGGCGGGGCCGGGCGGGGAGGCCGGTCCCGCGGGCGGGGGCGGGGGCGGCTCCGCGACTTCTCCCGCCGCCGCCGCCAAGGGGAGTTTCCAGGAAGTGGCCATATTGGATCCATTCAGCCGCAGCCGCCCGGGCGGAGCGCGTCCCGCAGCCGGCTGGTCCCCGTCGCGGCCCGGGTGCTCGCCCCGGCCCGCCCGCCCGGTGCGGAGCTAGCCATGGCGGCCACTGACCTGGAGCGCTTCTCGGTGAGGGCCCTGCCGGGCCGCGGCGCGCGCGAGAGGCGCGGGGCGCTGGGAAGGGGCCGCCCTGCAGCTGGCGGGGGGCGCCGGGCGGGCTGTCAGCTCGGGGACACCCGAACGAGCTCTTCGAGGCGCTAGCGCGGGGTCCCGGGGCGTCGGGAGGGGGCGTCCACTTTGGGCGCACGAGAGACAGACCCCCTTCGCGGGAAGGAGCAAATAAATACCTGCCTGGTTCGGACCAGGTGCGAGGACAGACTGGGGGCCCAGGAGCCGCGGAGGCCGGGGAGGGGGGGCGGGGGGGATCCAGGATCCTCCGGACCCCCACATCTCCCGGGGTGTTTCTGCACTGATGGGGGGGGGGGAGATTCCTAGCCGCGCAGGTGCTGTTGGATGGGCACAGACTGTGAAGATGAAACCCCAAAGGATCCTAGGGAGTCTTTCAAATGAGTTGCAGACTTGGATCCCGAAGACCTTGGGCCTTCTTTGCCTTCCCCTCCACTCCTCTCCCATCCCCACTCCCCGCCTAAGCGCTCAGATCCCGGGTGCGATTCCAGGCAGGTCCCACCTCAGTGGTCCGGTCTGAGGCAGCCATTCCCCCAGGAACCAGCGATTCTGGATACAGCCCAGTGGATGTTTGTTTGGGCCCCAGTCGGAATGCGTTCTGCAGGGCTCTCGGTTCGGGTGGTCCCTGCAGGGGTCTCTATAGGGCTGAGCCCACCAATAGCCAACTTTCTAAAGGTGTTTATAATTCACCTGGGGGAGGGGAGCCTTTTGGGGATTGTGTCTGCCTGTCCTCTGGTGTCTGAGGCTGGATCTGGGTGTGTCTGAGAGGCTGGGCTGTGACAGTGAAGGAAGCTGTGTCCTCTTGCCAGCATGTGAGGCCCTGGTCGGCGGGAAGGGGGAGGGAGGGCCCAGGGCTGTTGGGGGGGAGGGGGAAATGTTGACTATGTGACCGATAAGGAATTGGTTCTGGGGCTAAATAAGGGAGTCAGGACTTATGTAATTAATGCTATAAATACTGTCATCTGAATTAGTGTATGTAAATTTTCCCTTTAATCTGAAAATACATTTGTTGGTCTACTTTGGAAATATGCATAACTGAAGCAGGAGCTCTTGGTTTCATAATTCTAGACTGAGGTGTTTTATTCCCATTGAGGAAGGGGCGCTGTGTCAGTTAAGTAAGTTTAAATACAGGAGGAGTGGAATCAGAGGTTTACCTCACCCCTGCACTATAAATTGGAATTTATGTACCCAAGGAGGGCAGTCTCTGTATCCTAAGAGACCTGCTGATGAGCTGGAGGCCAAGAGATCTGGCAGTGTTTGTGCATCTGTGCATGTGTGTCTGTGTACATTTTCTGTGTCCAGCTGACCAGAAAGTTATGTCTGAGTCTTGTCTGTGGTCAGAGGTTACCCTAACAGTTGGTCTTGCTGGTGGGAGCGGTATGCAGAGTAACTAGAATCAGAATGTCTGATATGAATCTTAGGCTACTACTTATTGGCCATGTGACCTTGAGAAAATTATTTAACCCCTCAGTGTTCTCATCTATATAATGGGATGAAAATATTACCTTCCTCCTCGGGTTATTGGGCAGATTCAGCGAGAGAATCATGGTGAAGTACGTAGAGCAAGGTCTGGCATGTGATAAGGACATAATAAATGACACATGATACCTAGTGTCCATGTGGAGGTAGAAACTGGTCCTCTGTATAGGAAGGCAGCAGAAAATGAGTTTGCTCCGTTCCATGGTCCCCTCCCTAGGGCTCCTGTCACTGCACACCCAGAGATTGTCCTCAGAATTGAGCTGAGGGAGTTGATTGCACTTCCAGGAGGTGGAATGGAAAAGGCCTTTCCTTCAGATTCCCATGCTGGCATTTCTGTGAGGATTTCGGGTATTATCTCCATGGTGGGCCAAGGCACAGAGACAGGACTGACTCAGGTATGTATGGCTGTCCAGGAGCCTTGGTGACTATGTCATGTTAAGCTGGCTGGGTGGACGCCTTCCACACCCTCCATGCTCTGAGCCGGCAGCCTCCTGGGAGGACTTGTATGGGGTTGAATTTGGGTGGAGACCTTGGGTGGGGTTTGGCCTGAATTTCAGAGTCTGGACTCCATTCTGCTCTCCTGGCTTGTCATCCTGGGAAAATCATTTCTTTCTCTATCTTGCTATAAAATGGACCCAACCATACTAATATTCTTCAAAGAGTTTGTGGAAGGTTAATTGCAGTCTGTGGCATGTTTGGAGATCTGTTTAGATGTCTCCCAGCCTCAGGGTTGATTTTGGTGTTAAGCATTGACCATGAGGCTATGATTTGATTGAGCTTTGGCAGGTCTACACTGCCTCCCAGCCCCCACCCCAGGCTGGCTTGGTGGTCAGCCCAGCCCTGGAGGGCCTGGGAACTGTCCCGTTCTGGAGCTTAGATGAGCATACGGAGTTTGTACTTCAAGGTCATTATGTGCTGGGTTCCTATTGCCCACATAGCATGATATAAACAGGATCAGTAGCCTTTACATCTTGTCTAGCCCTGCTCAATCCTAGGTCAACCACGGGGTTAGGGTTGACATCTCCTGGACGTGTATGTCTGGGACAGCGCTCTGGGGAGTTTCTGTTGCTCTTGCTGTCCTTGAGCAGTCCAACTCCTGTCCACTCTTGTTCTGCTCCTCCTCCTTCCTAGGTCCCAGACTCCTTAATGGGTTCCAGACTTTACTGCACCCATGGCCATCTCCTGTGTTCCTTCTGTCAGAATCTCATGTGGCAGGGCTGAAACTCCAGGGCAAGGGAGGCTTTAGAGCTGGGGGAATGCGGAGCTATGAGGGGGAGAGGGAAGAAGCGTGAGCATGGCAGCCTCATGCCTGGCATTCCTCCCAGCCAGTCATCCCCCCCCAACCCCCCCCCCACCATCTCTGCTTTATCCCCAGCACCATCTGTCACTTCCGTTGTCACCCCTGTAATCTTGACACTTCTCCAAGAAGCAGGCTATCCAAGGAGTGCCTCTTCCCTCCCTGAATCAAAAGCTGGTGGGAAGGGGTGTGGGAGGCAACCCTCTCACGCAGTAGGGCTGTGTCATGGACTGGTATCTCCCTGTCCTGTAAAAATGGCCAGGAACCTCCTTGCTGAGCCATTCTGAGAGAGAAATGAGAGCACAGCAAGGAATGTCTGTGAAGCTCTCAGTGCCCTGGTGGTGTCGAGAGATCATCAGTGAACACCACCTGCAAGGCTGCAGCTCTGTCCCACCACCCTCATGGGCAGCGGGCCTTGCTATGGATGTCAACTCTAGGAAGGTCTGCCTGGGATCTTGTTTGGAATGGGTCAGAGCAGGGAGGCTGGTGGGAAGGCACTGGTGATGCAAGGGAGCACATGATAAGGGGCTGACTAAGCTTGGAACAGAGAAGGTGGCAAGAAGGAGCCTAATTATAGTGCCAACAAGATGAGAAAATGGATGGAGGCCCTGACCCAGGGCCTGACTTTTGTGAAAAGCTTTGGGTGACATAGAGGGCTCTGGATGTTTTGTGCCCATCAGGTTGTTGATACCAGCAGCCTGTGGTTGGGTGAGGATGGCAGTCTCTGGCCATTGGCAAGTTTGGACCTGAGACCCAATCCCAGCACCCAAGTAACCCTTGAGATGACAGAGAAGGTAAAGCCCTCTGAATTTGGGGCCCTAAGATGGGTTAGGTGGAGGTGCGTACTGGGACATTAACTACCATGAATGTCTCTGTGGCTCGGGTCCAGCTACTGGAAGAGAGCAACTGCAGGATGACAGAGCAAAGGGCCTGAGGGCTAACTGGCTTCCGTGTGTCCCCTGCAGCCTCTGCAGCCTTCCTGCCCCTGTGCTTCCAACACGGGTCTTGAGATCCCCAGGCATGGCTCGCAAGGCTCAAACTTTGCCAGACAACCCGATGTGAAGCTGTGTAGGTCAGGAGGGAGACACAGGCACATGGGGAAAGGATATTTTCTAAGGGCAGTTTGCCATCATGATAGAGCTGGAGTGTTCTTTGCTGGGACCATCTGTATCCTCAGGACTCACATGAGGAACCATGGTTGGGAAGAGGTGGTGGAGAACAGGGCAAGGGACATCTTGGCTGTAACTTCACTTTTTTTTTTTAAGATATCTGATTTTATTTATTTATTTATTTTTAATCTGTTTTGTTTTGTTTTTTTGGGAGAGGGAGAACATGAGCAGGGGAGGGGCAGAGAGAGGGAGAGAGAGAATCCCAAGCAGGCTCCACACTGTCAGCATGGAGCCTGATGTGGGACTCGATCTCATGAATGATGAGATCATGACCTGAACCAAAATCAAGAGTCAGATGCTTAGCCCACTGAGTCACCCAGGCACTACCCTGTAACTTCACTTTAATTGCCCTGGGTGGTCTTGAGGCAATTAGATATTCTCGTCCTTAGAGCACATGGCTTCCAGGCAGTTCTTGGCCCCTATGCTGGAGGACACATTAGAGGGATAGAACCAGGGGAGGAGGGAATTAGGGTCTATTTCAGATCATAGTTTCAAACTATTCTTTGAGGGGCCTCCTAGGTCTGGGATCCCTGGGGCCTGGGGTTCAGAAGGACCATTGGGTATGGACTCAAGTCCACTTTCCAGACCTGGTTGTGGGGCCAGGGTGCAAGCCTGATACTTAACCTGGTGCTGGCGTGAATGGAGCAAGTGACAGACAATTATAATACAGCAGCCCTGAGTATCCACTGGCCATTGTTGGTGCCCTTGCATTTCTCTGCCCCTTCCCAGCACCGGCATCCATCCTGGGATTGGAGAGGGGAAGGGTCATGTTTGCTGTCCCCATTTCCCCTTCTAAGGGTGGGGTCTCATTCACTTGGGAACATAGTCTGTTTCCTTCCGGTGATAATCCAGATCAGTTATGGCTTCCCAACTGCAAAGCAGTGGGAGCTGTTGCTGGAGTCCCTGAGCCAAATGGGACAGTATGAACTCATGAGTTTCCAGTAGCTTCTGAGGCCCAGAGTGTCTCTCCTATCTGCTCCATGGTGGGATGGACCCCTCCTTCTCAGATAGCACAGCACAGTCTAAGCAGGTATGTGTCCTAGGCTTGGAGCGAGCTGGTTGGGCCCAGAAGTTGGTAACTTCTTATGGCTTCTTGGAAATCTGATTTTGTCATGAGAAGTATGCAACAAATTATCCCATATTACTAAGAGGTGGCCCTGGCTTTCTATTTGCATAAAGAGGGAGGAAAGTGCCTGTTAGTGAGACAGGGAAGCTGAGAGAATGGAGTATAGGGGTGGCCTTAGGCTCCTGGGAGTAGTTTTGCACCCAAAGTCCCTTCACTTCCCAGGATGCAGGAGGGGGTGACTGGCCTTTTGAGAGTGACGGTGGCCTCCTCCTGGGGCCTACCTACCTTGGTGCTGTTATTGCCACCGTGCTGCTTGGTCTATGCTCATGTCTTCTCCCAGGTTTTTTTTCTTTTTAAATGTTTATTTATCTATTTTGAGAGAGAGAATGCATGAGCAGGGAGGGGCAGAGGTGAAGAGAGAGAGAGAGAGAGAGAGAGAGAAAGAGAGAGAGAGAAAGAGAGAGAGAATCCCAAGCAGTCTCCACACTCAGCACAGAGCCTGATGTGGGGCTTGATCCCATGACCCAGGGATCATGACCTGAGCTGAAATTAAAAGTCAGTCTTAATGACTGGCTGAGCCACCCAGGCACCTCTCCTCCCCAGGTTTTTTTGCTGTGTTAGGAGAGAGATGCTTTTGTTCCTAGGTATTCCCTTGATTGTGGATAGGTGTATCTTGCCTCTATCCTTCCCTTCTGGCCCAGGATAGCAACATTCCTACCCCCTGCCCTCCTGCACACATCCCTTTGGTTATTTCCCGTAACCTTTGACCTGGGCTTAGAGGCTTGCTGTGGAATCCTGGGATGTGAGCCTAAGCCTTTCCTGGGAAAATTCCTAGGATTCCTCTCAGACTCAAGGACAGTTGTGCTATGACCACGGGTTCTGGCCAGCAGCCTCTGCTCTGGCTATTTAAGGCCCAGGCTGCTTAGAGTAGCTAGAGCTGTGGATTGGATAGTCTGTGCCAGGAACATGGGTGGGGAAGGCTCCCAGTGGCGCAATGACTCGTGGGTCCATTGCTCAACAATTAATAGGGCTTCCCTAGGGCTGGAGCTCTCCTGGCAAGTGGGCTTCCTGTTTGCCTAGCAGGGTGCTTTGGCCAGTGGGTTCTAGGCCTAGGAGCCTGGGGGAGAAAACTGTACGAAGACCGAGGCACCAGAGAACTCTGTGGAAGGCCTAGGATGGGGAGCTCTTCTTTGTCCAGGATTCAGGAGTCAGGTACACTTCCAGTGGGCTACCGTTTCTCTTCCCATCCCAAAGACCAGCCTAGTTTGGGAGGTTTGATCTCAGGGTTCTTTATCCACTCACAGCTTCTTTGGCTCTGTTGGTTCACACATTCAGCAGATTTCCAATTTCTTCTGGATAAAATCCTGTTTTTGTGTGGGCAAGCCATCAGACATGGTTTCTCCCCCAAACCCACCTCTCTTCATTGTGAAAGAAGTATCTCCTTTTGGCTGGCATTTAGGGCTGCTCCAGAAAGCTCGGAGCGAGCGTTTCCTGGTTAGGAAGATGACGTCCTAGTTATCCACTGGGCTGTATAACAAAATGCCATTCTCTACTTTGTTCTGGACGGTCGGGCATGGAGGAATGCAGCCGGCCTGAGCAGTTATTATTTTGGTTGTTGTCTTTGATGTGCCAAAGAAATGATGACACAGAAGCCTGGGGCCTGGCTCAGGAGCCAAAAGCTTGTTAGTGATTAGAGAGGGGATAATGGTCCTGTGGAGTTTCCCATTGTGTATGTAGGGCTCAGAGCTGCCAACTCTGTTCTGGAGCTTTGAGGATAGTTGGAGCCCCCCGAGCCAGCAGGCCAGGGAGGTGAGTTGTCCAGCCGAAGGCCCCTCCGGCAGAGCTCTCTCCTGTGGAGCTCTCTCCTGCGGGTCTCCGTGCCCCAAGAATGGAGACACGAGTGTGTTGTCCTTCTACCTCACTCTCCTACCAGACGCGGCGTTGCAGACTGTCAGGCCACGGACCAGGTACACCCCTCAGACAGGTTGTGTTGGGCCCCGGTGGTGTGCTCGGTTTGTGTTGGTTGTCAACCTTTCAGAATTAGGGCGTTGCACGTAAAAATCTAGATTTGTAGATTCTCTGGAAAAATCGTTAAGATTTGGCAGCACTGGGCCTGCGTTCCCACAGTTGGCTGGAGTTGCAGAACCACGGCCATTGTGGACTGAGCACAGGCTCTGCAGTTCCCTGGCGCTCCTAACCTCTCCCTGAGGGACCCCACAGTCAGCCAAGTCAGCAGGTCTTTCAGCCAGCAGGCCACGGAGTGATGTGGCTAGAAGCGTGGGTTTTGCAGTCATACTGTCTCCGTGCAGATCCTGGCTTCACCCTCCTGAGCACTGTGGTCATGGGCAAATGACTTCATCTCTTGGAGCCTCCATTGTCTCATCTGTCTGATGGAGGTGATATTACAGCCTACCTCATAGGGCTGATGTGTGGGCCAGATGACATTCAGAGTCATACATGGTAAGCTCTCGACAACTGTTAGTGCCATTGTTGTTATTCCTGTACTTTTTCCTCTTCACTCATTTACATTACCTGCCTGGCCTCTGTAGCCCTTTGAGTTTAAACTGCGTCAGATTGAGCCCCTGAGGTCTGGGATCTGGTGTCCTCATTTTTTCCTTGGCAGCCATCCCAGGGCCTGGCACACCTGGCAGGCAGGACTGGCGCGTGTGTGCTGAGCAACTGAATGAAGGAGTCCGGGGGCCTTGTAAGAATAGGGGAGGTAGTGTAGTACGGTGGTTTAGGGCAAGGGCTTGGCTACTCTCAAATCCTGGCTCTGCTCCAACTCGTTTTCTGGTGTCTGTGCACCTCAGTTTCCTTACCTGTAAAATGGGAATTATAGTGGTGTCAGCCACACAGGGTGGAGAAGGGCTGTGTAGGAGACCGTAAACCATTTGGCTTAGTTCACACAGGGTGGTCCTCAGTGAGGTGTTGTGTCATCATTTGGCATTCATTCGTTCCTTTGGTTGTAAACACTGAGACGTTTTACTTTCTACACTTTTTCCTTCCCTTCCTTACGCTCCTTGCTTTCTCTCTGTTCCTTTGCATTCTGAGTCTCACTTTGGAAACCCTAGCAGTCAAGATGTCCTCATTTGCAAGGACTGGATGGGCCCACTCAACTAGCTGAAGCAGTAAAGGGGAGATATGGCGGGGGGCAAAGGGAAAAGCTCAGAGGTAGAGCAGACACTGGCTTTCTGTTTTTTGTGATTTTCTTGGTGCTGCTGTCCTCTGAGTGGGCTTTAGTGTTATTCCAGCCCCCCTAATGGTTATAAGATGATCATAAAGGTTCATCCTGGGTCACCTGATTGTAACGTAGCCAGTCATGGGATCATGCTGATGATCGGCTCAGGACTATTAGGACCTACCTTTAGAGTTGGAGCTGAGGTCTTAGCTGCAAATTGCAGGGCATTTGTAGGGTCATAAGGCAGCCATTGGGAGATCTGCAATTTCTTTCTGATGTGTATTAACTGAGACATGCTGATGATGCTTTGGGGGCTGCTGGCTCCTCCTAGGCTGGGTCAGCAAAGACACCTGGTCCAGGCACTTGGTAGTGAGCAGCACACCTTGGGTCACATGTTGTTGATTACACATATAGGATCAGAGAGGCTGGCATTAGTGAGAGTCACACTTCGGTAGAGTCAGGAAGTCAGATCTGTCTCCTGAGAAGGGGGAACAGCAATCTTCCCTCCTCAGGACCAGAGGCCACTCCTCTGTGTGTATGCATGTGTGTGTGCGCACATGTCCTAGAGATCAATAGTCCCATGGTCCCTGAGGCTCTTGAGCAGGCATTGATTGCCTCAGCCCTGTGGTCCCTGGAGTGACAGAGTGCAGCCTGGACAGCAATCTGGGGATGAGCACCTCCCTGTACTCCACACACTTCTCCAGAGGGAGCAGTGTTGTGTGACTGAAGGCAGCCAGGGCCAGGTGAGTGAGGATAGGTGGACTTCTGCAAGAGCCCCCATCCGAGTGCTGCTCTGAGCCTTTGAAGCCTGGAACTGTGAGGAAGTGGGGGAAATGCAGAACCAGGATGGCCTCTGTCTCTGTGCAAGGACTGTGTGGCCGAGTGTGCGCGCGCGTGTGGTTCCCAGACACAGCTGACGGGATGGGTTTTGGCGGCAGGCTACAGGATGTTGGATTGCGTCCTGATTGTGTCACCCTTGGAAGAAGAGGATGAATAAACACATAGCCTTCTCTGCAAGCACAGCACGCCTTAAATTTTGGAGATTTTCTGTTTCGCCTGCAAAGAGAAATGCTCTAGACTCCCTGTTCTGTCCCCCATTTGATCCTTAAGCTGCCATGAGCAGGTGGAACCGAGACTAAATAATGAAGCTCTGTGTGAGGTGGGCAGATGCCCCTGATGCCACAGCAGTTGAAGACAGTGTTCAGTAGTTTATAAATGGCAGCATTGTCTAGCATGTTGGGCATCGTGGTGGGAGGGTGGGAAGAGCAGAAAGCCTGACCTCCCCCCGCCTGCAGCCAACCTCAGGGAGCTTATGGAAGAATTGGAGAACCGGGATGCATAAAGAAAGGACGACTAATAGTGCATGGAAATGGGGTCACAGCCAAGTGAGGGGTCTGGAATGTAGGTGTATAGAGCCAGGACAGAGCAGGTGCCGGGGAAAAGGGAGAGTGAGTTCTGGAGTCCTGAGAAGCGGACTCTGTTAGGAGAACAAATTCAGCGGTAACCTGGCTGAGCCTGTGAGGAAGGCCTCAGACCGTGAGGGCCTAGGATGCCATGTGTGTGGGGTTTGGACCTGACCCAGCACATTCTATGCTCCATTAACTGTTTCTGATGTGGGCACCAGTGAGAGGAAGCTCCCTTTGGGGCCTCTTTGTTGGTTTATGTTTGCAGCCCTGGGGGCAACCTGGGCTTGAGTGGGGAGGTTGTGACACGATTTCCTGGGGACAGGGGATATGGAGAAAGGGTCAGCTGTAAGAGCAGAGGCTCTGCACGGAGAGCGTTATCAGAGAGCAGATTTAGGGGTAACCCCGACTTGTTTGAGGAGATAGTACCACTGCCCAGAGGGTCCATGTGGAGTCTAGGCTGCCATGGCACACACTTGGCTGTCATTGATAAAAGGCTAAAGTGACTAAGCAGGGGTGGGGATGCGGGGGGAACATTATTAGTCAAGGAGAGAGGGTGGAGTTTGTGTGCCAGGGGCTCTGGTGGGGAGAAAAGAATGGTTGGAGGGGTTCAGGCCAAGTCAACAGGCTGCAGCTATGAAGAAGTCAGAATGTGCTCAGGTGCTGAGGAGATCACTCTGCAGGAGGGTAGGCACCCAGCGTATCCATTGTTTGGTAGCCACACACTGTCTACTGATCAGTAGCTCCTAGGGCTGCCTCCATTTGGGCCTGTTTCCTCCCCTCTGGAGCTGTGGGCAGGATGGCAGGATGGTACTCACACTCACTGCCCTTCCCCGTCTTTGCTCTTTCTAATGGGCAGTCAGGGCAGAGGGGCTCAAGAATGGAGGAGACATGTTTCTGCCCAACTTGGAGCTGTTTGGTGCCAGCCCCCTAAGAGGGCCAAACCAGGGAAGGCTGAGCCTGGGAACCTTCCTTCGGAGGACGGCATTTTATCCCCATTCCCAGGGAAGCAGAGAAACTATCCGCACAAATTGGAGTCTGACTTTGACCCTCTGCTTCGGGTCCTGCTGGTTTCTTTTTATAGTGCTGTGGGCCAGCTCCAGTGGCCCTAGCTCACTCGGGACCTGCTGCCTGCCTCTCTCCTGAGGCCAGACCTCCATATTCTCATCCAGAATCCTTTGTCTAAACAACCAGGGCTGGAATGGGTGTGGGAGGGTGGTATGAGCCAGAGCCTAGAAATCCCTAGAGAACACTGCTGAGGCAGGAGGGATGAAGCCTCAGTCACAATGTCTCAGACACTAGCCCTGAGACCCAGTGGTGGGTGTGAGGGAGCACCAGCCCCTTTAGCGGGGCCCATTTGTGCACTCCATGCTTGGGTATATGACGAACAAGGGGGGCACGTGGAGGATTGTGAGTCCAGCCCAATGAGGGAGGGCCCCCTGATGGAGAACAGGTGTGAGGGGGTCAGACCAGGGCTGCCTCTGCTTGAATCCTGCTTCAGTAGGAGTGTCTGTGAGGTCTGAGAGGGGGCTACAAGAACATACACACTCTCCAACCTTGGCCTCTTGAAATCTTTATTTAAGATGGGAGAACCATTTGGGGCCTCTTCCTGGGCAGGAGGACAGGTGAACCCTCAGGGATGGCAACCAGGATAGATGGTTCTCTGGGCCATCTGTGCTAGGAGATGCCCCAGGCCCAGGTATCGCTTGCCAGCCCAGGTAGAGAAGAGCCATGGGTGAAAGCCCTTTTCTAGGACAGGATCGGGGGCCCTGAGGCACATTGGGCTTCCTGTGTGGAAACTCGTCCTGGAGTTGGAGCTCTGGCAGACTCACACTGTGTCCTGAGATTTGCTGAGAATTCTGGCAAGGGCAGGGGTGGTGCATGTCACTGGGGTTTAGCCTCTCCCCACGTGGCCCCTCTTCCCCGGTGGGCTCACTGCTTTGCCCTATTTCTCTCTTGGCAGAATGCAGAGCCAGAGCCCCGGAGCCTCTCCCTTGGTGGCCACGTGGGCTTCGATAGCCTCCCGGACCAGCTCGTCAGCAAGTCAGTCACACAGGGCTTCAGCTTTAATATCCTCTGCGTGGGTACGTGTCATAGTCTGGCCAGGGGGCAGCCTCAGACAGGGGATGGAGCTCTGTGCCCTGTCCACTTGTTGAGCTACAAGGGACCTCCTAGGCAGAGAGACACTTTGAGGGTCATGGCAAGGCACTGATTGGTGTCTCTGCCAGGGTCAAGGACAGATATTGGGGGCCTGACTCCAGTTGCCTCGAAGAGTGAACAAGATCAGGGCTGTGAAAGTGCTTTGTAAACTGAGAGTGTTTATCACAGAGGTTTAGATTGTGTGTTTATTTTTAAAACATTCACTCTTGTTCCTACTGTGTATTAAGAACACTATGGTAAACAAGACTGTCCTATTATAATACCATGCGAGAGCTCCGGCACGCATCTGAACAAATACAGCCCCAAACAGGGAGGCGCTGGGAGGTTCCATGGGTCTCAAGGCCAACGGTACAAAGAGCTCTGCCACACCTTCTGCAGGTGCCTAAGCCCTGGCATCTGCTGGGCTGTGGGTGCCCCTCGGGAAGCAGCCTGTCCCGAACCGGATAAAGCTAGCTGGAACAGGAGGCCACTTATGGCTTTAGACCCTGGCTCATGACCAGCCCCAGCCCAGGAACGATGGTGTGCAGAGCAGGTGATGGGTCCCATTGAGGCTAGCAGAGGCTAATGTCCAGTGGATCCCACAGCTGCCTGGCTCTGCCTCTTCCCCACACCCTGAGGAAACATTTCTCACATCCCACATAGCCATGGCTTATGTCCAAGTCAGCCTTTTGGCTTTTTCTTCCACACGTTTTTGAGGCCACCAAGAAGGGGTGGCTCCTCGGGATGGGACAGCGAGGGATGGAGTTGGAGGCCTGCCCCTCTCTTCTGTGTGGAGGCTGAGGTGCCCAAGCCCCACCCATCCTAGCCAGCAGCCAGGGACTGTCCTGTTTCTAAACTTTGACATCTCCTCCATTCCTTGCTCCCCAGGGGAGACTGGCATTGGCAAGTCCACGCTGATGAACACGCTCTTCAACACGACCTTCGAGACCGAGGAAGCCAGTCATCATGAGGAGTGTGTGCGCCTGCGGCCCCAGACCTACGACCTCCAAGAGAGCAACGTGCACCTCAAGCTGACCATCGTGGATGCTGTGGGCTTTGGGGATCAGATCAATAAGGATGAGAGGCAAGAGGCGGGAAGGGCGGCCCCGCCTACTCTCATCCCCGCCCCCCTCCCCCCATGGTGGGCTCAGTTCTAACGCTCTGCCCAAGCACCCTTAATTCCTAGCTGCTCCCACACTAATCGGCAAGCCCTCCACTCTATGGGGGGCCAGAGGAGGGCCTCTTGGGGAAGACCTGAGGTCCCAAGGACCCCTTTGGAGGTTAGGAGACAGGGTCAGCCACCTGTACCCAGACAGGGAACCCCAGACTGAAGCCGCTTGTCCCTACAGAGAACAGGTTGGGGGCAGCCCGCGCCCTGTGGCTCAGTGCCTGCCTCAGGAGTGATGGAGCTGTCTCTAGTTACAGGCCCATAGTTGACTACATCGACGCGCAGTTTGAAAACTACCTGCAGGAGGAGCTGAAGATCCGCCGCTCACTCTTCGACTACCACGACACGAGGGTCCACGTCTGCCTCTACTTTATCACGCCCACTGGGCACTCCCTCAAGTCCCTGGATCTGGTGACCATGAAGAAACTAGACAGCAAGGTACACACCCTGCCCCCCAAACTTGTTCCATGGGCTTCATGGTCCTCCGCTGAGTTGGGGGCTGCAGTGTGACTCTCTACTGTGGTCCTCGGGGGCTCTGCTGCTTAGGGGCCTGCAGATAGCTCCTGGGCTTGGTCCTGTTTTCCCTTGCCTTTTCCCTACTGCTCCAGTGGGCCCTCATCACTCTGGGTTCTTTCTGTAGAGCTCTGTCTCCTTAGTCTGGTCCTGAGCCCCTTCCTTCTAGATGAATTATTTCTTATTTAAAAACCAAAGCTGGGTTTGCCCAGAGGACTAGTTTTTAGGGCTAGATGGTGGTTTGAGGGAACCAGGGCTGTAAGAAGCCCCATAGTCAATTGGTACCACCCATTAGAAAGGCCCCAGGTGGCTGGGTTCAGGCTGGGGCTGCCCATGGGAGCAGCTCCATGTCTCTGGCCTTCTGCCTTCTGCCTTTCTGCCTGGGGATGTGGCCTGGGCAGGGCTGTCCACAGTCAGGGAGAACTAACCTGCTGCCCCTCACCCCTCATCCTGGCAGGTGAACATTATTCCCATCATTGCCAAGGCTGACACCATCTCCAAGAGTGAGCTCCACAAGTTCAAGATCAAGATCATGGGCGAGCTGGTCAGCAATGGGGTTCAGATATACCAGTTTCCCACTGATGATGAGGCTGTTGCCGAGATTAACGCAGTCATGAACGTGAGCATTGGGCACTGGCCTCAGGGCCAGAGGGGGCTTGGAGCCAGCATAGATCTGTGGCAGCCCCAGAGACTCTGGCTCCCCCAGGATTCCCCAGGATTTTCAGGATTCGGGAAAGACGGGTGGGTGGGCATCTGGAAGCCAGCCAGTCCTACGTCCTACGGCCAGGAGATGGGAGGAATTGGGTATTGGGCTGGTGCTGGGCCTTTCCCATGCTTAAGTTTCATAAGATAAGGATGCAGGGCAGGAACTGAAACCTGTAGGAGTAAGCAGGTAAGATGCCAGCGCTTGGGAACATGGAGGAAAGCCAGGCTTGCAGGTCCTGTGAGGGAGCTTCTAATGGCCCCTAGGGAGCCCAAGGTCTGAAAGAACCCCTCAAATGTAAGGAAGATGGGGGTGCAGGTTCAGCCCACTCTCCTATTTGGAGGCCTTAGGATACTTCTCCAAAAGAGAGCCAGGAAGCAAGCATCTGGCCATGCCTTGTTCAGGTGTGGCATCCCTTCCCTGGGGTCCAGGATAGTGAGGGAGGGTCTGTCCATTAGTCTGTCCACCCAGTGCTCACCCATACTTGGGCTCCTTTCCAGGCGCACTTGCCCTTCGCTGTGGTAGGCAGCACTGAGGAGGTGAAGGTGGGGAACAAGCTGGTCCGAGCACGGCAGTACCCATGGGGAGTGGTGCAGGGTAAGTGACTAGAGGGAGCACATCCCCAGGTGGTGGGCCTAAACTCAGTCTCCTGGCCTGTGTCCTCCCTTTGACTGTCCAGTGCCTGTGCTGCCGATGGAGTCGGCCTGGAACACTTGACTGCTGTTCCTGTGTCCTTTCCTCCCTGTGCCCACCTGTGTGTGTGTTCACCTGATGCCCCACGGGCCCTGTGCTTTCAGTGGAGAATGAGAACCACTGTGACTTTGTGAAGCTCCGGGAGATGTTGATCAGAGTGAACATGGAGGACCTCCGAGAACAGACCCACAGTCGGCACTACGAGCTGTACCGGCGCTGCAAGCTGGAGGAGATGGGCTTCCAGGACAGCGATGGTGACAGCCAGCCCTTCAGGTGACATCCTGCGTGGGGCGTGAGCCCATCTCCACAGCCACGGCCAGACTTGCCATGCTGGCAGCTGTGCCTGGTGGGGGCGGGGGGGGGGGTGTCTCATGAGCCAGGGGGAGGGGCGTGGGGACCCTGGCACCCCCACACCCCTCCTTTGCTCAAGTGATCCCCCTTCTCTGGCTCTGCCCCATCCCATCCCGCTGCAATCCCACCCTTGGCCTCTTGTCTGTGCGTCTCCACAGTCTGCAGGAGACTTACGAGGCCAAGCGCAAGGAGTTCCTGAGTGAGCTGCAGAGGAAGGAGGAAGAGATGAGGCAGATGTTCGTCAACAAAGTGAAGGAGACAGAGCTGGAGCTGAAGGAGAAGGAGAGGGAGGTACGTGTGGGCTCCAGGTCTGGGAGAGGCCAGGTGAGGGAGGGCGGGGCCTGGCCAGGCTCACAGGAAGCCCCTGTTCCTCCTCTGCTCCCAGCTGCACGAGAAGTTTGAGCACCTCAAGCGGGTCCACCAGGAGGAGAAGCGCAAGGTGGAGGAGAAGCGCAGGGAGCTGGAGGAGGAGACTAGCGCCTTCAACCGCAGGAAGGCCGCGGTGGAGGCCCTGCAGTCCCAGGCCTTGCACGCCACCTCGCAGCAGCCTCTGAGGAAGGACAAGGACAAGAAGAAGTAGGTGGTGGGCCTCCTGCCCACGCTGGCTCTTGCTCCCTCCTGGGCACCCACTCTGTCCTACTCTTGGCTCCTTGAGTCTACTTTGGTTCTCGCCCATGCTCTGCCTAGTCACCATTTGGCTCTCAGTCCCACCCGCTTTCCCACTTCATTCTTGCCCTCCTTTCTTTTCTTCTCACTGGTGAGCTTGATATCTCAGGATACTGGGTATTTGTGCATGCTCTGTCTTGCACAGGTAACCCCTTGTTACCCCCCCACCCCACCCCGATTCTCTATTCCTCTCTCTCTCTCTGTCTCTCTCTTTCCTGGCTCTGTCTCAGGCTCTGTCTCTGTTTCTTTCTTCCTGTCCCCCTCTCTCTTTCTCTCTCTCTCTCTCCCCCTCCTGCCGCCCCCTCAGAGCTGGGATGGTGAAGCCCGGGCCACACAGGCCTAAAAGGGTATACAGGTCTCAGGGAAGGTCTTTCAAGCCCAGAGAGGGGCAGGACCCGTGAATGTCCGCATTTCCAGATTCCAAAATCTGCAGTTTTTGCTTGGGCAGTGTGGTGCATCCCCCTCAGTCTCTACAGTGGATGTGGGACCTGCATTGGTTGGCAGGTGGATGCTTGAGCCCAGGCAGCACTGGCCCCCAGGCACTCTGCTCACTGCCTGGTGGAAGGAAGGACACCAGCTCCCTGAAGGGGCTCTGGGAGTCCTGCTCCAGAGAGGAGCTGCCCTTCAAGTAGAAGTTAGAGTTGGAAGAGAGAGGAGGACAGGAGGCTTCCAGCCTCCCGCAGTGCAGTGAACCTCTTGGCCAGGTGGGGGCAACTCCGAGTCATTTCTCCTCAGCCTTTTTCAAAGCCTCTTTCCACACTCTCAGCCAGAGTCCAGATGCCCTGGTTCCTAGGGGGTCTCCCTCCTCCACACTACTTCATTCAGTGTCCCGTACCTCATCACGCTGTGGGATCTTGTCCATCCCTGCTTCTCCCTGCCCCTGGCCTGGGTCAGATACCATCTTTTGCTTGTCAGCTGAGGAACTAAGCAGATGATTCCATTTTTGTCCTCATTCTTGAGTTTCTTGGACACTCATGTCTCCTTGGAATGTTTGGGAATGTGTGTGTTCAAGCCCTTCTTTCCCTGGTGGCAGTGGAGGCTTGTGGTTAAGGCCATGCAGCGGGTAGCCAGCCGTGGCTCTGGGATGCTGCTTGTGGCATCAGCACTCTCCCCGCCCCTAGTATTGCCATTCCCTAACACACATACACCCATGCACACAGTCTTACTCTCACTCCAGCCCTGTCACATGCACAGACTCAGGCACTTGTCATCCAACACACACAGCCCCCAGGGCACATAAGCACAGAGACATCTGAGGAAAAAAACCTTCTTGAGCTGCTCCCTGGGAGAGATGAGGGGGACAAAGCCAGGCATTTAGGAATGAATGCTAGTTCCTATTCCTAAGGCCTGTCCTCTGCTTTGGGACAGACCCTCCCCCGCCCTCCTTTCTATAGTCTCCCTCATCCTGCTTCCTGGTGTGTCCTACCCCATCTGCTGGCACTGTTGGCAGAGATAACCCCCTGCCTGTCCCCAGGGAGGACCCTAGCCCCACATTTCCCTCAACCATGTGGATTTGCTCTTTGCTTTGCGTTTGCTTCCAGCCCCAGCCCCATGTCCAGCTCTTGGCTTGGTGAGCCTTGGGGCTCTGTGAATTGGAATCTCTGTGGGTTTCAAGCTAGTGGCTAAGAATCCAGTTTCTCCTGGAAAGGGGTGTGTGGGTCTGCGTCCCAGGTGTTGGCATCTAAAGAGACTGTGCCCTGCTCCCTGCCAGCTTGGTCTGGGCCATCTTGTTTCAGAAAAGACAGGCAGGATCTCCTAGGAGATAAACTATGGAGAAACTACTCAGACACTGAAGACACGGACGTGTGGCCAGGACAGGGCCAGGAGGTGGGGTGCAGGCTGGCTGCAAGGGCACCAGCACAGCTCTCGGGGTGAGAGTTCATCTGTGGTGTCGGGTCTCCCTGCCTTCCCAGTGTGGCCTGGGTCTGGCAAACAGGTCTTTTCTGCTTGCTGGACATGCCAGAAAGCTTCAGTCAGTTTGGCCTCCGGGAGAGACCTCTCCTCCCGTGCTGGCCTTGTGAGGCCAGGAGTTGGGTAGGTGAGGTGGCCTGGAGTGCCCCTTCCTCTTGTCCTGGTCAGGGGAATGGGGTATGTGAGGAGCGCTTTCGGGGTGGGGGGTGGTTTTTCATGACCACTGAGTTGGATTGCTTTGATTGGTTATACTTAGTCTTTAGATTTTAATCCATTTTCGCAAAATTACTTCCCAATCAGATCTTGACCCTCAGCCCGGAATGCCACAAACTAAAGCAAATTCTCTGCTTTGCTCGCCACAAATGCCAAACTGACTGCCCTTTCCCAGCAGCCAACTTGCTGTCTTTTGTTTCTGTTTGATTTGGTTGTCTGCGTATCTTTTAATGTGTCTGTTTTTGTTTTGTTTGTTTTATTTTTATTTTTCAGTTAACGCACGCACAGACTTACATGTCAAGAGCGGACTTTAGACTTTCATGTGTTAAGTTGCTTGAGTTACACCTTGTGACCCTTCTTCTCCCATAACATGGTGTGAGGACGGACTGGGAGCCGGTACAGACTCCAGTGTTTACAGCCTTGCTTTGTCCCCTACCCCCACCCCCAGGCTGCCCTGGGCCTGGTGGGCCACCCTCTCTATGCAAACACGTCAAAGCCATGAATGCTGGAATCCAAAACTGACAAGGTTTATTTTTTTCAGAGCCAGTGGCTGGTCTTCCATTTACAGTGTCACTATTCCTTGACGGAGCAGTTATGTGCCACTCTAGCGAAGGCCCCAGCCGGCGATGCTCGGCCTAATTGTTCAGCGTCAAGATGGCAACTCATGCGGTGCCCTAGGTGTGGCCGCGTGGTCTGGTATACATGCTGCAAAATTCGCTCGATTCCCCCTCAGTTTAATTTTTCTAACCTAGAGCTTAATTTCAATAATAACTTTTAAGATACTTCTAAATTTTTATTTTGGCACAAGCGTAAAGACAAATAATATCCTCTCCCGTTATTTTCATAAGTAACCCAGATTCCCTCATTTTTTAAAAACTAAAAATATCTCTAAACCTTTCTTATGTATAAAGTATCCCTATAATATTTAGGGAGAGGTGGGTAATAAACATCCTGTGATGACAGTGTTTGGAATTTCTTTATGGATGAAAGTGGGACACGAAGGAGACCGCATGCAGTGTTTTAAATGTGGACGTAAATGGAACAGCAGCCCAAAGCCGTTGTCTGTGTGCTCCACAGGTGCTACCCATACACAGGGACCACTCCACGTGTGTGTTAAGTGTTTGACTCCAACTAAGACCCCCCCCAAACCAATCCTGCATATTCCAAATGCAAAGAGTACTCTGCCGGGAAAAGGTCGTTTTTTTATCTCAAGGTCGTTGTTTTCTGTTTTCCTGGCTGACTCACAAAGCAAAGACACGAAGGTGTCTGATGTATGTGGACTATTTGAGAAAACACTACCAGCCAAGGAGCTTTCCCACCTCCACTGCGTTCTTCAGGGGATCATTGTGAGGAAGTACTGGCAGTATTGATTCTCCGATGTTCCTGTTGGTCTGCGAGCCACTGCGAGTATCAGGGCTGAGAATATGGTGTGATGAAATAGATAAAAAAAATGAGTAGATGAAAGGATTTCATTTAATGTTGATGGAGCACTGTGCTAGATACAGTGTACTCAGAATAACACGCAGCTCTGCCCTCAGGCAGCTCACAGTCTAGTGCACTCCCTAGTCGGAAGCCTTGGGAAGTCGCGCTAATTTATTGTCGGATTGGTCGTTTGTTTTTCATGTCCTCTGTCCTCCTTCCCATTGCTGTTTCCGCCTTTCTGCCTTGGCCTGCTTTACTGATTTCCAGGACCAAGTCGTGGCTTCGTCCTGCCCTTCTGAGATGGGGCTCCATTCAGAGTGGGGAGGAGGGGCGAGCCGTGTGTGTGTCCCCAGAGGCACGGCAGGAAAAAGGCAGCCTTGTCCTCCTCACCAGGAGCAGAGAAGGTCTTACGGATGTCCGGAGTGCAACTGCTCGAAGTGTCATGCCGTGACCAGGGGTGGATCCAGATTGTAAGGGGCTTCAGTGTGGGCATTCAAAAGGCCAATCAGCGTATACCTAAGGCACATGTGGACTGTCGGTGGCTTGACTTTAGGGGGATTATATGTGTGAGAGTGTATTCATTTTGGCTGAGGCATGACCTGTAAGATAGCCTCTGTCAGCTAATGTATTTCTGAAGATGAGGCTCAGTGACCCAGAGGATTTGCTGGTTATATAAGAAACAGAGATTCCTGGTTCACGGGCCAATTTGGGGACTCTGGAGTGGACAGCTCCTGCCACCCATTCACCACAGCCTGTGGGCTGCAGCTCGGGCATACTGGAAGGTCGGAACTGTGGCTGGTTACCTTCCTATGGGTGCAGGGCTTCCCAGCATCTCTCAGGAGACCTGTCACTCTTAACACTTTCTGGGGTCTGAGCTGCTTCCACAGGTACCATCGGCTCTAGTGAGCCTTGCCACCATTCTCTCCCTGGGCTATTTGTGTTTGTAAGTTTATCATCTTCAGCTGAGACCAAATTAATCCTTGATGCACAAAATGAGCTTAAAACGTGCCGTTATTTAACAAGCTACCCCGTCCGGGATGTGACCCTTGTAGTCAGGATCTGATTTGCCTCTCCTTTTCAGAATCATCTTTTAGCATTATTAGGACTGTCAGTGGGGTCATGCTGGCATTTATGATCATGTCTCTCATGAGCTACGTTGGTTTTGGGTAGAATCATATAATTTATTGTCCAAACTGAGACTTTTCAGATTGAAAGCAGGTCCTGTTAATAATCATGCCAGATCAACAGGTGTAAGCTGGAACGGTCTCAGGCAAACCGGCATGAATGGTTACCCTGGTGATGGGTAACCTGAATGGAGGTGGTTTGTAATTGTGCAGACTGACTGCATATATGTTTCCATGTGTCTATGTGTGGGTGCTCGTTAAGTGGGGCTCATATTACTGGATAAGAGGCCCAAGGGAAGTGTGGCTTGCTCGTCTGTTACGTTAACATGCTTTTCTAAAACTGCTTCACCTGTTAATTCATTTACTCCTTCATACATTGACTGTTTTTGTTCCTTTCCATTCACTTTGTACTCTTTTTTTTTCCCCATTAAATTTTGCATTTATTTTGAGTTTTTGTGGTGTCTTTTTTGGGCAGTAGCTTTTCTGATTTAACATGTTTTCTAGCCTATTAATCTGCTACGACTGTGGTAAAACACAGCTTGTCTTTTCTGTGAACTTTGTGGGGTTGGCCAGCTTCTATAGGAGTTGTGTTTCAATAGTGACTCCTGCTGTGGGCATCTGTGAAAAGCTCTGGAATGGGTGTGGGATGGAGGAAAGAGTCATAGGAGAGAGCCTATGGTCCATCAATCTTCAGCGTGCGTGAATGGGTGCAGGCCACCAGAGAAGGGAAGGGCTGCCTTTTAAGAGTTTACATCCTTGTGGAAGAGGCTTGACGTGGGACAACTAACATCTGAGTTCTTATGGTGTGTCAGGCATTGTTCTGAATTGCATTACGTGCATTAATTCCTCTAATATTCATAATAATTCCAAGATCAGGTACTATTCCCCCCCCCCCATTTTATAGGTAAGGCAGAGAGGTAAAGTAATTACCCAGAGTCACACAGCTAGTAACTGGTGGAGTTGAGATTTGATTATTGGTAGCCTGTACCCTTGATTCCTGAGCTACAGTTGCTACTTGGCAACCCAGTGGGATGATGGACTTATAGTGAAAATGTAGCCACAATTGAAGTGTGCAGTTTGACACACAAAAGTGTGGGTTGGTGGACCTGAGATGGTTTGGTAGAGGTGGGATGCCCTGGCAGGTGGATATTTGGCTGAGAAAGGGCAGACCAGTGCTGGAGGGAAGCGATGACAAGCTTGTGGATTCATTTGCAGAGGAGCTTTCTCTACTGGGCACTAGGTTCATCACTGGGAAGACCAAAACAAGGAGAGGGGGACTCAGGTCAGAGAGGTGACAGCACACCGGGGAGACTTGTGTGCAGACGCCCCTAATGAACGTTCAGCTCAGCTCTCCCTGTGGGGAGTCAGCTAGCAGGGAAGCAAAGTCTTCACCGAGCTTTGAAGGACAAAGACCCTCCAGGAAACCAGAGGAGACAAAGGTGACATTGGTAGAGGGAACAGCATTGTACAGCTCGCTCACCCATCTGGGGGAAGTAATATTTGGACAAGTATTAAAAAGGCCCAGGATGCTCCCCTACTCTGTTCTCAGCCCATCTGCCCGTGTCTTCTCTCCTCTCCATTTTCTGCAGCTACAGTCCTTCACCAATCCCTCCCCTTCTGTAGACAGGGACAAAAGCAAGACAAATCGTGTCCATACTTCTCCCACCACAACAATCGCAATCTCTGATCTGAGGTGGGATAGGAGTTGCTTAAAAAGAGAGGGAGAGGGAGAGAGAGAGAGAGAGAGAGAGGAAGATGGGACCTGGAATCCCAAGGTGAGCCTCAACAGCCTAAAAACTTTTCTCAAACTCCCAAGTGGTACTTGGCAACGCAGAAGTTTGCTTTCTCAAAGAGCAATACTGTTTACTAAAGCAGGGCTGTCCCTTTTCTCAGTACAGGGTTCACACACAGGTCCACCTTCTCCTTTCTCTGAGAGATTAGCGTTGAGGACCCAGCTTCCACTCAGAGCTCCCTAGTTAAGAGGTCAAGACTTCCCTGCAGTTCTGCAAAGTCAGAGAGAGCCAGAGCTGGGGTGGGTGCTCAGCAGGAGCCCGTACTCCCTGCTCCCCCTGCCCCCAGTCCTCACTCCCAGCGCAAGGAAGGGGGCAGGGGGCAGCTGTGGCCCTGGGAGGGGTTGCCGTGAGCAGCAGGCTGTGCCTCAGCCTCTCCATTGGTGCTGGACTACAGACAGCTGTTGCTGGGACCCAGGAGGTGGTATTCTAAGTGTATGTGACTATCGAGTCTAAATGCTGGATATCCAATACATTTAAAATAAGATTCTGATGAGGTTGAAAGGAATTAAACTTTATTTTTACAGAAGCTCCACCAGGCAAATTTGTGTGGCCAATAGGTAGAGATTCATACGCGCACTGTTATAGTCTACCTGGTCTGTGACCTCTCTGCATCTAGCAGCAGGTCGTATTCCTCACAGCTTAGCCTGTTTACACAAAACTGCTCAGGGTGGCAAGACTTCAGAAATCACTGTGAAGTGTGTGGTTCTGTCATTCGTATTCCCGACGCTGCTTACACAGCTCCAGGGGGCAGCTCTGCCTGCTGGACTCTCCTGCCCAGACAATGGCTGTGTAGTGTCCTGCTGTCCTAGAGACAGTTGGCTTCTCCCTCACGGCTGTGCCAGTCATCTCCTTCTAGCAGTGCCATGTTGGGAGCAGCCTCAGCCTCAGAACCTGCTCATCTCGACCTAAAGCTCTCAGAGCTGTGTTTCCCCATCAGGGGTCAGCTGCTGAGATCATTCTTAAACATAAAATTCCTCTAAGGTAGTACACTACTTTGCTTAAGAGTAACAAAGGACAAACGTGTGAAGCTTGACCAAGTTACTGTACATTGAACAAAGCATACTTTATGATCCAGGTCTTATGGAGAGAAGACCTAAGTCATGGCCAAGTCAGGGGACATTCATTTGGAGAAATGGTCCCATTTTTGCCATGATGGGCAAGGTCAGTGGCACTTGAAGTGCTACACTTCCCAGAAGTCTGGGAAGCTGACAGAATCTGGCCAGCTCCGTAGGTGGAGCAGCACAAGCTGGTCAGTCAGAACCAGCCCGGCCCTTCGGTCCTGAGCAAGGCCCACTGCTGGCCTGACTCCAGTTCCCTTATGGGCCACTACCAGTCCATGCTGAAGGAGAAGGGAAAACCAAGGTGCAGTATGACCATTCATTCATTCATGCTGGTCTCGGACCCATGGGAGAGAAGAGAGCAGGGTCTTGATCTGTCAGACCACCCTTCCCAAAAGGGACCCCCGACCTGCCTTTTTTCTCCTTACTGCCTTCTCAAGACTCGGGAGCTTTTTCTCAGTTGCCTTCCAGTGCCTTCTTCCTTTATTGTTACAGGATCCATAAAGCCTAGAATTTAGAGGCGTCCCAGCACGAAGGGGTTGCCATGATGCTCTAAAGGGTACTAGGGTAGGGGCACAGAGGCTGGGAAGTGAAACAAAGTTGTCTGAGCAGGAAGAGGACTACAAACTTCTCAGGTGCTGCTTTACAAGTTCCTTGCAGTGGCTCAACTGCTCACTACTGACCTGTAATTAAAATAGAGTCATCCTTGAAACAGAACCATTTTACATTCCAAATAAAATAGTGAGTGCTTAAATGTTAGCACAGAGTAATTTCAGGAAGGTCCAACTGTTTGGCTCAAGAGCATTAACCCCACCATCTCAGGGACATCCACCTCCAACCTCAGTAAAACTGTCATTCATCTAACTATGCATTTCCATCTTACCCTGTCCATACTCAGAGATTCCGATCCTTCAGTGCCTCCCTCATGGTACCCCAGTACCCGGTACCATACAGTCAGATAAAAGGTGAGGGGTCTGAGATTTACACGCTGCAATATTAAGCTCAGGGGTGCTTCCTCCTGAGTCGGGCACATGCCCCGGACTTCACCCCATCCTCTTGACAACAAGGGCTGCCACTGAGATAAAGCTCTTTTCACTGTCAAGAAACCCACCCAATTGGTCCAGTGAAGGGAACATGTACCCCATACTCATCCAGAGGGTATGCCAAGTGTACAAAGCCTAGGCCTTAGGTAGACTCTTCACAGAGTCATTGTGGCCAGAACATCTGGAGCCCACAGGGGCCAAGAAGGGCGATGCGTACCATTTTGGGGGCAGAGTGCATCAGCTCAAGGGGCAAAACTGAGAGCCTGGTCCGGGGCAAAGTTGATGTCTACCTGTGCTTTCTTTAGCAGATCAGATATAGGAGTACACCAGTCGGGCATGAGCCTCTCCAACTCTAAGGTGATGATGACCAAGGCCAGTGTGGAGCCCTTGAACTGCAGCAGCTGGTGGCCCGCCATACAGTGCTGCAGCTGCCTGGTCAGGGACGCGACGTGGAGGGAAGGATTCCTCTGAGGCAGCAGCTCCACCACGTGGGGCCAGCCCAGGACCACCAGGGCATGGAACTAGAGACCGTGGTTTTTAACGTTAGAACAGAAAACCCCATACCTTTCATATATCAATGACCAAAAGTGCAAACAAGTTAAATTTCCATCAGGGAGCATCCGATGTTGCCCAACCCCTTCCATTCCCACCCATGGCCCCATAAGGGACTTGAAGCTTAATACTCATTCTGTGGCCAAGCTGAGCTTCAACCTTGGAGAGAAAAGACAATCTGCTTCCTGGGATGGTCATTAAGAGCTCAAAGTACCTAGATGACAATGTTTCAGTTCTGAAAAACAGAAGCATACTATTCAAGATTAAGATAGCAGAAAAGTTACTTGTATCTGTATACTGCAACTTGGCAACAATGGCCAGTTTTCAGAATGATACAGCCCTTAGTGATTTAATCTTCATGCTTCCTAACCGACCAAAACCCCATACATTTCCCATTGCATAATTTTGCCTTACTAACGGAATCATTCCTTAAGAATGACCATCATTCCCCAACTCAAAAAATACCAACTAATACAATATTTTTTAAGTGCCAGATCAATATGGTCTAAAGCCTCAATAAGGATCGTGTGTAGGTGAATAAAGACAGCTAAGTGAATGTGTGTAAAGTGTAGCACAGGCAGACAGCTTTTTATGTACAGTATTCATAGAATGGAAAGTTAAATATTTTTGCAGTGTGTATTTAAAGAGAAACTCACCACAACAGTGCCGTCAAAAAAATCTTTATAATCTATTGTCTTTTAGAAGCGGGGGTCTGGTGGAACTGTGTTGGATTTAAGATCTCCATTTTCCCTCTTACGTGTGTCATGAGCCCTGTGGGTCACCTCACTGTGGTACGTGTAAGGACGTGTGCACGCCTGTGCTTTGCCATCCTATGTTGTGAACAGCTGTTCCAAAGGCGCACACGAGTCTAGGGCAGACTCTGCAAACTCCTCGTACTTACTATGGTCAAGAAGTCCAGCGGTATCCCAATATAGAGGTCCCGATGCAGTCTGTCCAAAATAGCCAGCTCCACCCTCAGCAGCTCTCCCGGGGTACAGCCAGAGCCGTAGTGCTTTATGAAGTCTTTTATGCGTGGAATTAACTGTAAAAAGAAAATAAAGAGGCCAAAGCCCTGTATCATGTCATGGTAACTTGTTTTCTTATCCATGGGAACCGGGCATCCGTGACCCTAGGAGAGTTGTCTTCTCGTGACATGCCACAGAAAATGCTTCTGACAGAAACACCAAGTCAGATTTTGGCCATGTGTCAAGTCCCAGGTAGTTATGACAACATGTAGTGAATGGCACATGGTCACCCTCTGCAAACAACTTTTTGTTTTAACTGCAGCGTAGTTAACATACGGTGTGAGGTCAATTTTAGGTGTACAATATGGTGTTTCAGTGCAAACAGGCCTCGATCCACAAATGCACTCCAGCTCATGCCCAAAGGTGCTTTGGAGGGTGGGGCTGTGCCGCATGCCCCCCATTCAGCTGCAAGAACTCACCCACGGTTTTTATCCTTATCATTCCTGTTCCCGACCCCCACGGTGATTACTTGTTATAGAGAGCAAAAGTAGGTCTTTGAACTTCCCGGTCTGCACTAGACAGGCTCACTCACAAAATCTCCCGTGGTTTTGGCAACACCATAGCTGCAACCACGTTTCCTTCAACCTTGATTTAAGGTGGTTCAGTTCTGGAAAAACAAGGACTTTTTCCCAGAGGGACTTATAAGACTTATTCAAGTACCAGGTGCTGCACAGACTAGTCTACTTTTTTAGGTAAGCCAACTACTATTATAACCTCCACAAACACTTATTTTAAGGGTCATTTACTTGATTTTTAGTTGAAAAAAAAAAGCAACTTTGTTGGAGGGGAGCACACATTATATTGTAATGGACAGGAGTTAAAAGCATTTTTACTGAATGTTTGGAACTGGACACACAAGCGATATTTTCTGACCCTTCAGACCCTGAACTGAGCCAAGGGGAACCCTGTGGCAATGACAGGCTTTACTATCCCTAAAGGGGGAAAGTTTGTGGAGATGGAAGGAGGGGGGTCTGGAAAGGGTATTGGGAGAGAATCTTCTGAACAGAAACTACAGTGAAACTGCCAAGTTGAAGCAAGCCTGAAGCACTTGTGGGGGCATCTCCTCGACCCCTGGCACATGGCCCTCCTGCCTCTCAAGAGAAGGGTCCCAAAGTCCCTGAAGAGCAGCTTCAGTGACACAGACAAGTCCTTAAGTCTCAACAGGTTTCTAGGGGGGGACATTACGGCACATGGTTTGGGGAGGCCTTTTTCCTAGCTCAACAGCCAATGTTTCTGTTCAGTGGGAGGTGGCATCAGACATCGACCAATAAAGATATATCTGCCAGGAGATCAGGCCTCTGGGTTTGCTGGACCAAGAGAATTCAGCTGTTCTGAGTGCCCATTATGGGGTCGTGAGGTCCAACAAGGCTAAAGGCAGCACAGCAGAGATCCTAGGAAGTTAATGAATTTTCTAAAAAGCCCACCATTCCTAAGGACACACCTTTCTGGGAGTCTGAATGTTCCAGTATAACACTCCTATACTTCAAAAGCAGCCCAGAGTGGACTCCCAGGGATGCCTACCTCCTCTTCTTCGTTAAATGTGGCAGCAAGTCTCAAGCAAGTAATCATGACACAATGGAGTAATCTCTCTCTTATCTGAAGTATGGAACAAACACATTTGACCAGAATATGAATGCCAGGAACAAATAGTCAAGCACCGGTGGGTTTCTTTGGGAAATTAAGTTTTTTCCTTTCTTCAAAAAGAGATGTATCGTATTCCTCCACCAGTTAGTGCCATGTTTTACATTTGACCCGTGAATATGCCCCTGATTTCAGAAGCACCAGTGGCTAGTCAGTAGTCCCTTGTTAGAGGGATGAACGAGGGTGGGAAATACAGCACCATTTCGGGGAACACATCATGACCACAGGCTGCAATGGCGAGATCCAGACAAACACACCCCACATGATCACACAGTAAGTCTTTTCCCAGCTAGGTCCCTTCAGAGGGACAGCCACACAACATTGAGCCAGACAGGCTGGGTAGTGGGATGTAACCCTTAGTTTATGAGCCTCTAAGCAGCTGGGATAGTGCACCTCTCAGGCAGCAATCAAGGGCAGAGGTCAGTTTCTTCTCCCACCCTCTATTACCACCCCCAGAGCCCCTACCTTTACTGAAACCAGTAGGCGGCTGAAGGTAGTGAGAGCCAGGTTAAAAGTAATTTGGGAGAAGTTAAAAATGTTCTTAAGCCCCAGGAGCGACAACACGATTTCCTGGACCTTGTGGCAGATCTCAGCCTGTTGGAAAGAAGGGGTAGGGGAGGGCAGGGAAGGTCGTTGGTGGCCAGTGTAGGTTCGCAAGCCTGCTGAAGGTCACCATAGGGGATGTGAGACGTCCCTGCACCTTAAACCGCGATGGGACTGAGTGTTGCCCAGCGATTCACGGATTGAGATGGTCCTCGCGCCCGTTTTGGTCCTAAGCAGAGTGTCCCAACTCAAGACCTCTTCCGAAGCACCTACCAGAAAGGCGCCCTCTCTGTGAGAGGGGCTAGCGACCGCCGCCTCGTGCCTCGTGCATGGCACGCACCTGGTGAAGGTCCCCGCCTCCAGGGTGCTGCTCACCTGGGCGCGGGCGCAGGTGGAACCCGGCCGCGTCCCGTGCGCGCAAGGGGAAGGGGGTGAACGTGCTCCCGGAAGGCTCTGGCCGCGGGGCCCGCTACCTGGGGTTGACCGCCACGCGACGGGCGCGCCTCGCGGCCCAGGGCCAGTTGCGGGTGGGCGGCCAGTCGGCGCTTATCCAGAGGGCGTCCCCATTCGCACGGCACCCGCGGGGTTGAGGCCTGGAGGGGTGGCCGCGGGAGTTGCGGACTTGGCGCGGCACCGAAAGCGGGACAGGCAGCTCGGGGTCCTCTCGGTGACGGCGCGGAGAGCTACGGGTTCCACCAAGGCCGCGGGAGAAGAATGCCGCGGGCCGCTTCGCCCAAACGCGGCTCTGATCTCCCCCCTGGGGCTGAAGGTTGCGAGGGGAGCCGCCTGCCGGAGGCCATGGCGAGCGCCGGCTCCTGGGTCTGGGTCCCGCCATAGCCGGCCTTTTATAACCCGGCGCGGGGGACTTGCAGCTGGGGCCGCGCCGGGGCGGGGAGGGTTTGGCGGGCCCACCCCCAGCCCGGGCGCGCAGCAGCTCCTGGAACTCCCAACCCGCCGGGCTTTGACACTTGCTCACGGCTTGTGGCGCGTGGAGTGCTTGCCGGTGGGTGAAGGATTCCGTCTTCTTTCACTCCCCGCCCCCACCTCCTGCTGAGCGCTTCTTCCCCACCCGATGCCCGAAGCCCCAGGACCAGAGTCCCGAACCCGGAATGCGTCACCTGGTGAGCACTTCGGCCCTGGAGAAGTTCACGGGGCCGCAGACCCTGCGTCTTATTTCACAGTAGGGCTTTGCGGCACACAAGACCAGGTAGAGAAGCGTCCAGAGCGTTCCTCAGTCAGACACCCTTGAGATGGAATTCTGACTCTGTGTGATCTCGTTTATGGGACTTGAGCTCTCAGTCCTGTTTACTTCGACTCTTAAAAAAAGGCAAAATCTGCCTCACAAAGTAGTTCCTTCATGCATATATTTTTCCGATCAGCAGTTAATCAGTGAAGGCCTACAATGTTAGGACATAACAGTGAATAACACAGACATGGAGTTTACATTCTAGCCAGGAGAGACAGATAATAAACATGAACAGAATATATAGAAATCCCAGCGATTTCACTTTTAAGTATATGCTCAACAGAAATTCATATATGTGTATCAAAAAGACACCTACGCAATGTTGTCATAGCCCCAAATGTCCGTCAGCAATTGAATGAAATAAACAAATTTTTGTATGTTCACACTATGGAATACTACCACATTGAAAAAGAATGGACTAATGCTCCACCCAACAAGAAAAAAATCTCACAAACATAATACTG